CGCGCAACAGGGTTGGGCAGTCTGGGCTGGGGGTAGGATCACTTACTCCTTGTTCTCTCTACCCTGGCCCTCCAGCTCCAGCCCTTCTACCCATTGGAATGAATATAGCTTCTTTAAATCCTTGATTGTCAGACTTCCATACAGTTTAATTTTCTGACAGTTCTGGGTATATTTTGTTTTGAGGTTAGTTGTGATTCTTGTTGTGGTTGTGTGAGGAGGTGAAGCATGTCTATCCATGCCTCCATCTTGACCAGAAGTCTAAACTTATTTAAAATCGAAACATGAGTACTCTTAAATAATAGTAGATAATTTCAAGAAAAACACACAATTATCTGGTTCAATTGGATTTTGTTTGACTTATTTCTTCAGACAGACACTGTTTTTAGTGTGGGTGGCAGAACATACATTAGAAATAATGAATCAGTGGCTTGTAATAATGATACATAATAGGCATTCTCATTCTTTTCACACAAATCACAGACAAATGTGCTCCCAAAGACTCAAAGATTCATACAGAAATGAGAAACAAAAATCAGTACTGAAGTCCCAGTTCTCTAAGTAAAAGAGGAATATCACAGAAACACAAGGTAACAAGGTTTCATTGATCATTTGTCTACCTGGGATCCTGTCAGCAGCATTCAGTTTCAATCTTCTTTCTTATCAGAATGTTTGTCTGGCTGTGTCTTTATGGATTATCTATTTCTGCTGAATAACTTGCAGCAGTGCTGCTAATCAAGAGAGAAAAGAAGCTGCCGTTGGTGATGAAAATTGTTTTCCAGTGGCTGATTGTGCTAATCAATCTTCTACAAAGGAAATCAGGAGTAAAAGATGGCCAATAATTGCAAAACACTGCTGTACACATGAAGAAAAACAACTGATGCACAAAGCACAGAAAAGCAACTCTTGAAAAAATGTTGCAGAGTTGGCTATTTTAAAAGTATATATATAATGTTGGAAAGCAATTTTTCACAATTTAACACCTAAGCCTTATTTTTAATATGTGGGTAAGGACTATGCCTACTTTATTCTAGTATTAATAGTATCTGACAATGCTTTATAATTTGAGAGTAACCTGACATTTCTTGTTAGGAATCTGAAAACTCATTGAAAGTTATAAAAAGTATCAAAATTGCTGGTGCAGGGATTGCATTTAGCCTCTGATTATAATTTTGTGTATATGATAATCATGACTGAGTTCATGGCAGAAAATCTTTATATCTAATGATTCCCAACTGTCAGTGCAGCTCAAGAAATAATCCCTAGTGTTTCAGCCTTCATTTACAGTGTGCTTGCAAGTTCATTGTGCTATTGCAAGTATGAAATCCAATGTAATGTTGATTCTACAGGTACTTCTATGCAGATATTGCCAAGTACAATCTAAAACTTACACTCTTTATAAAAAATTATGAATTGTTTTTTCCAATCTATTGTGAACTAAACACAAAATTTTTAGGATTTTATAACTTGAGTCGACTACATAAGAGATCTAGAATCATATACGTGAGTAAAATATGTCAGATAATGCCTGAAATTTTAGAAATCAATTTTGGCTGCTTAGAAGTGAACACCACATTTATTCAAATCTAGGAGAGCATCAGTTTTAAGTCTCACTAAGAAAAGTTAAGGAAGAAATATATCACAAATTAAATTATTATATATTGCTTTAATGAAAGTCCTGCATGACGCATGATCTGGTCACACCAGCCTCTTTTTGCTTTGAACTTTGCTGTTCCGAGTGATTTGGAACTTTCTCCTGCCCAGAGAGACATTGCTCAGGGTATTTTAGACAATTTCAAGAAAAAAGGTAGCCAAAACCTAAGACAGCAGCATCTATGTATGATGAGAATCTTCCTAAGGTCTCATGAAGCCTTTTTGTATTTCTTTGTATAAAATCATGAAAGCATGTCCATGCCCCCAATGATAAGTATTTACTTTAATAGCATTAATTTTATACCCTACTGCTGTATATACATGCCCAAGTAATTCCATATTTCAAACCGAATGATATTGTAATCACTGATAAGTTGTAAAGCAATGAAACTCAACATGTTAATTAACATAAGTTAATGGGAATGATATTAAAAGCTATTACCAAGAACATATACGGGCAGGCACTGACAAGTACTACATAACTGCTAGCTAGACAATTGCAGTTGTAAGATACAAATACATCCTGACTTCAGAAAAGTTAAAATGTGAAAAGTGTGCACCTTAGGATTTATGAAATATATTGCACGGTAAAACTTTAGAGATAAAGATGCTCAATTTCTTCATTTTTCACAGTAGCTCCATGAAGACTAATGAATTAAAATCTGTTTCAGATGGTAATGGAAACTAGATAAGAATGTTAGTTTTTTAAAATATTTTATTAATTTATTTTTAGAGAAAGAGGACGGGAAGGAGAAAAGGAAAGAAACATCGACCAGTTGACTTTTGTATGAGCACCCACTTGGTACTGAACCCATAATGTGCCCTAACTGGGAATCGAACTAACAGCTTTTAGCTTTGCTAATGATACCCACCCAATGGAACCACACTAGCCAGGGCGAGAATGTAGATTTTTAAGAGGATTTATACTTCATTAATTCCTATTTTGTTGATCTGCCCCTTTTGAATGATTCATTACTTTATGATTTTCTTATTTTCTTGTGCTCAGGCTGTTATTTGATTGAAGAATGATTTATCTCATCATTCTATCAACCACTAATCATTGAAAATGCTACATAAGTTGTTTTTATTCTTTATAAATTAAATGTACTTGGCAATATAAGATATTCTTAATCCATTATGTAATTTCAATACATTATTTACTTTGTGGCAACTAAAGGCTAAAAATATTATTCTTGATTAATCTTCATAAAATAACACTTTCTTTCTGCCAAATTAAAGGTCTTCCTTTTGTTTTCTGCATCACTTCTAAATTTCTCTACCTAGTTTTAAAGGCTTTTTATAATTTAGCCACATCTAAATTACTCAATTTTATTTTCCTCTGCCAGAAACCACATTATCCTGATTTTTATTTTTATTTTTTAAAGATTTTATTTATTTTTAGAGAGAGAGGAAGGGAGGGACATAGGGAGATAAACATCAATGTGTGGTTGCCTCTCACACATCCCCTGCTGGGGACCTGGCCCACAACCCAAGCATGTGCCCTAGACTGGGAATTGAACCGGCGACCCTTTGATTCTCAGACCAGCACTCAATCTACTGAGCCACACCAGCCAGGGCTTATCCTGACTTTTAATTTGGTCATTATAATGACTACTCATACAAGGGCTGTAAAACTATTCTCAAAATTTTAACTTCTGTCCAAAGAATCTTCTGAAAGTCAAATAATTTATTGTATTATTTGGCTTTGGTTAATAGCATACAATGTGTACCACATCTGGACTTTGAGTGTTACTAACTCTTCAATGCATTTGACAGAACCAGAAGAGGAGGATCTGGAGTATTATTTCTGACTTCTTCACCTGGCTTTAGTGGTCCTTTCTAATGTTGGTTTTAGGGGTGCTTTGTATGGGGTAACATTGTCACATATTAAGTGTATGTGAAAGCCTTCTCAAGCAATGTATCTCCTTTTTTGTTCTTTTATCATAACAGTATATCTCTGTCAGTAATGCAGCTTCTTCCTAAAACAAAAAAAAAAAAACAAATTTAAAAACCATTAAACCAACTATCACTGAATACATTAAAATTACCACTATATAACAGATGGCTGATATTGACTTTTGGTAATTATGTCCCTTACACATCTACTCTGCCAAAAAAAAAAAAACCAGAGCTCAAAAATATTGAAGGACAAACACAATACAAAAATAAGATACTTCAGAGTAAAAATAGACTAACCAGTACCTGAATGTGTTTGTCTTCATTGAGAAAGTATTCTGGATTAGTAGAAGTAGTGTATTTTCCCATGTTTAATGCACAATTTTTGCCCAAAATTTTTAGGAGAAAAATAAGGATGTGCATTATACATGGGTATAATGATTATATGCCATAGGTACAATAATCCCATGTACAGTACACATAAAATGTGGGTGTGCATTATACATGGGGCACATTATGCATGGCAAAAAAAAGTTTGTTTAGCTATAGGTCAAAGGCCTGAGGAGAAATTATATGTTGTTTGAGTTGGTGTGTGATGGGCAGCAATTTCCTTTCACCTTCTCTCTCCTGTAATTTAATAGACTATAGTCCTAAGTACAATCTTTAACCCAAAAGCCATGGTCACTTTGTCATAAAGATTAGTCAACCATATATATGATATAAGCTGTCCTTTTCAAATAAAATTATACCATCTACATAATTACAGATATTATGATTCAATCACCACCTTTTATATAGTGAATCATATACATGTATAGCATTATACATATATAAACCATATAGATATGAGTTTTAGATTTATTATGAGCACAGACTTTACAAATTAAGGTTTTATAAATCAATATATATGAAAATAAATTTAATATTCAAAAACCAATAATTTAATTAACATGATGGAGTACAAACAACCATTGGAAATTATGGCCTCACCCTGACCAGTGTGGGTCAGTTGGTTGGGTGTCCTGCAAGGCAAAGTGTTGTTAGTTCGATTCCCAGTTAGGGCACAAGCCTTGGTTGCAGGTTCAGTCGCTGGTTGAGGTGTATACAGGAGGCAACCAATGGATGTTTCTCTCTCTCTCCCTTTCTCCCTCCTTTCTCTTTTCTCTAAAACTAAATAAGTAAAATCTTTAAAATAAAGAAATTGTGGCCTCAAGCAATTTATTCATATATATGTAAAACATTAATCTTTTTTACCCTGATTTTGATGTCTTTTTAATTTTTTTTAACTTTTAAATCATTTTTACTATTATTCTACTACAGTTGTACCAATTTCCGCCCCCTTTCCCCTCCTCCACCATCCCATCTCCCTCACTGCCACAGTCAATTCCCAAACTCTTGTCCATGTGTGGTTATCCACCAACCTTACATTAAGTTTTTAAAAGAATACCATGTCAGTGCTCATTTTGGCAGCACATATACTAGAATGGGAACAATACAGAGAAGGTTGCATGGCCTGTGGACAATGATGACATGCAAATTTGTGAAGCTTTCCATATTTTTCCCAGTCAGGGCACATACCTAAGTTTCAGGTTTGATCCCTGGTCCAAGTGTGTATGATTCCCAGTCCCAGCACATATCACATCACTGTTTCTCTCTCTCCCTTCTTCTCTCTCTAAAAGTAATGAAAAAATGTCCTTGGGTGAGGATGAAAAAAAAATAAATAAAAACATACCATGTGATCTAACTAATATGGTCCTAGCTAAAATCTATACATATTATATGCAGCTAACAATATATCTTTATATATATATTAATATTTAGAAGGGTATACAACCAAATGTAAAATGACAACAGAGATTAGTATGAACCATGGCATTATGAAATACTATTCTGGTATTCTGGCAAAATGAAATTACTTTGGTGTTACAGTATGTTCATTTTATGTTATCGTTCTTTTTTTCAAATACAGAGCACTCACATTTTATTTATTCATAACATAATATGAAAATATTCTATTATGCCTATTAAGGAAAAAACCACCTGCTACTAGATATTTGCAAATTGCATGACTGTGGTCAAATATGTGTTGTTAGATTATTTTGGTTGCCTTCAGAAATCAATGGTAATATCTATAGAACTGATAGATCCTCAATCTGATAAATCAATGTAACCCATGGCTGCATTGGGTATAATAATAGGCAACAGGATTGCTTTAAGAAAGAAATGCAGTGATGTATGTACCTAGTATGCAGCCTAGAAATTAGTAAGCACTCATTAATGGCTAATTTTCATAAGAAAACTATGTTATTTTAGTTTTTCTACTTAAAATCATATCAGCAAATATACACATCTTGAAACAATTATGACAAAATTAGTTACATAATATTAAACCAAGTGTTGAGGAATCCATTACACCATATAGTAAACATGTAGACCTTGTGCTGATAGGAACTTTGAAATCCCATGTATATTTCACCAATGAATACCATGTGAAGGTATTTCAAGTGACAGCTTTTCCAATTCATAGATTTCTACTTTAAGGGACTATATTTACAGTTATATTAATTTAGAATTAATGTATTACAAACCTCACTTCACCTTTCCATACTTCTAACATAATTTGCCAGCCATGTCTGCAAATCTTAGAAAAAAAAATTGTGTTAAGAAAGGAAACCATGACATTCTTACTGAAATGAAACATTCAGTAATAGATTGAGAAATTCACAGGAGGCAATCACCATTGTAAATCAAAGCTCCAAAATATTTTCTGAAATTTATTTTCTCTTTGTTGCTAGTTACTATACAAACCATCATACTAGCCAGGGATGGAAATGAAGGTTTGAAGGGACACGAGTAGGGAAACAACCACAAATAGCCACAAAAATCAATTCTGAATATTTCACAGCACTGTTAACTTTAATGAAGGTTAAGGTAGTGGCTTCAATTTGTCACTTTAGAAAAATTTTCAGCCCTGGCTGGGTAGCTCAGTTGGTCTGAGACTTGTTCTCATAGGCCAAGTTTGTGGGTTTGATTCCGGGTCAAGGCACATACCAGAATAAACCAATGAATGCATAAAAAGAAGGAACAACAAGTTAATGTTTCTCTCTCTCTCTCTCTCCCCCCAAATCAATAAATTAAAAAAATTTTTCTTCAATCAACATGGAGCTGCTCCAGGTGAAGCAGAATCAAGAATCCTAGCGTCTGTCTTCTCAAGGAGGGTTCTTGGAATCCCTAGATCTTTCCACTGAACAGAGCTTTGAAAAGACCTGAGTTAGAGAATAACCAAAAGGAAAGAAACACAGGGGAAAACACAAACCTAGATAATATGATGTATAAGGTGCAGTTTGCTTGTTTTCAATTTGAGGACTTCCAGAGAGAAGCTTCTCACCAGGAAGCAAAAACTGCAATATCTATCATGAATAAGAGTGCATACATATTTTTAGATTCCTAAAGGTCTCAGTTCAACAACGCTAAGTCCAAAATGAGGTTCTTTTGCTCATGCTGGCCCTAATTTGACTTTCCTTATACGTTCTACTTCTTAGTCTAGCACCTAAACTCTTCCAAAGCATTGACACAGTCAGGCCCATTCTCTCAAGGAAGACTGCCACAAAACCTTATCTGAATACATTGTCATACTCAAACACAGAGTACAATGGATCCACACCTACCATATCAGCTGTGGTTTCATAACACTATATTCCCCAACCTCCTCAAAAGTCTAAGTCCTAATTTTATTTACCACCCATTGTCGTATACTGGGACTCCATTTCCTAAGGAGAGCCACCACTGCAGCTCCACTTCAGTTTTGTAGCACCCCATACACCTAAAGAGTGTCACTAGTGATTCTGTGGGGAAATACTAAATTAATTTGATGCAATAGTGATCTATTAATTTAAATATTCCCAACTTAAGTGATCATCACCAGAAGATGGCATAAATATTCTAAATAAGAAAGTGAATGGATATTTAGAGACAGTTTCCTGTTAAGAAATACAAAGAATGTTTTAAAATTATCGTGCACAATCCAATACAAATTGTTTTACTTAACACAGAGCTCTTCTTTACTGTAGAGACTGGGTGTCTTATAAAAATGTAAACATGCTCTCTTCATCTACATTAATGTCAATAACTAGAATTTTTCAAAAGTAAAAATCTGTGTAAGTCTAGAGTCAAATCTAGAAAAAAAATGAAATCCTTATTTCATTTTATATTTTCAATATGAAATACCTATTGTTCTTGCCACTTTAAGGAAATAAACATTGATAAATGTTATTAACATTTAATGAATGATTAATAGCACTGTCTTTTCCATAATAATTTATTATAAGAAGTGTTTTATCATGTTCAAGAGACATGTAAATAATTCTATGCAATGCCATTTATAAATGCTTTATAATAGGGTGATAGAACATTATTTAGAACCTGTTTCAAACTTGAAAAAGGTAAAAACAAGCCTAATGACTGAATCTTAAAAGTCTGTGTTCTCATCAACCAAGATTCTTAAATCATTTCTAAATGTTACCTTGATTTAAAAGGCAACCACCATTTCTTATTCAGTTTTGCCACCAAGTAGAAATAGAAAAATCTACAGCACTGAACCTGGAGTGAGCACCATGGCATAGAAGTGTTAGGTGCAGTGGTAACAAAAGCTCCAGATCATTACCTGTCATCAAAGCCTAGAATATTCTGTTATGACTTTTACATAGATTCTAAGTAAGGGATATATTAGAAGGAAGGAGTTTATTACAGTTTTTAGATAAACTTTTCAAACTAATTTACTGATATTAAACCTAACTTAGAAACGAATGACACCTATTACTGGAAAATGGGAAATTTCCAACCTTATGTGGCATTTTTCTCCTTCCTAGCCTCTTGATGGAAATTTTATCTTAATTCTGCCATTGCAGATTTTTGAAATGTAATAACCACTTTCAGAAACTGTGGTGATGAGAAAAATTCACACTGGCCTCTGATGGAGGTAAGGCATCAAGCAGTCCCAGTTGGCTTTGGGTGGGTGGGGTGGAATGGAATATCGAGATGAGGTAGGGAGTTCCATAGAGGTTGATACCTCCTTAGCCACTGGTCCTTACATTTGAGGATTTTAAGATCACATTTTCATTGCAGAGCCCATTCTCCTTCATGCCTTGCATCTGCTCTTTGTAGGACCCAAAACATTGGCTAAGTCCTTGAGCATGTGCAATCAAAAATAGCATATTGAGGTAAAATAGAAAAATAAATTTTATATAAATCTGGGTAAAAGAAACAAACTGAAGAAAATAAATAACAAACTCCTACACTGCTACAATAAGCATGACTCCAAATTTTAACAAAAGCAATTTCACACTTTAAAAAGATCTATCTAATACTGTAGTTATTGTTTTGTAAATAGGAGACAGTTGTCCAAACCAGGACTGTGAGTTCCCAATGGGTTATCTCTACCTTTAATCTTTTTCTTGTCACAACCACCCTCCCTGCTCAGATATGCCTCCTCTCCCTGCCTGAAGCTCCTCTCCTCTATACTTTCCTTATGCACTTCTGCAGGATTTCTTTTCCTAAACATAACACTGGTCATACTGTTACCCAGCAGCAAGTGGGGTCCCACTGCCTGCCACCACCCTTTGGGCAAAATTCCAGAGGCAAAGTTTGGTAATAAAGGAAAGGAGTCTTTAGTCAAAAGCTACACAATTTTGGAATAACACCTTTCCATATGAATTAGTCACTTAAGCCTATCAATAAAGGCTTTAACTGCTGAGTTACCCGATCATTCCCCCTGTTAGTTTTATAATTATCTTATTTGTATTGGATTAGTTTACAAACTAAAACAACAAAAGATACAAAAGCTACACGATTTTTGGAAGAATGACAGTCTTCTGCCTCAGAGCCTGTCCTCTCTAGAACAGTGGTCCCCAACTATTTTGGCACCAGGGACTGGTTTCATGGAAAACAATCTTGACACAACAGGGGGTTGCGGGGAGAGACAGGAGGCAGAGCTCAGGAGCTGCTTGGCCACCACACTTTGTGCCGTGTTGCCTGGTTTCTAACAGGCCATGGCCAGGGGGTTTCTCTAGACATCCAACGAAGAATAACCCTGCCACCCTCTGCCAAGTCAGCCTGACCCTAGGCTGGGACTGGGGTTTCCTCTCCCATACAAAATCCATCCAAATTACTGTCCTTTGGGAAACCACACAGCTGCAGCAGGATCACCCTGGCATTCTTGTGGAAGAGAGCCAGAGAGCCAGTGTCTGCCCTCCTTTTATTTTAAATTGTCTGGCCCATAATTCTTCCCTCTCCGGAGGTATTCAGCTTCTCAGCCAATCCTGTTCTAAACTGTTTAACATTGCCTTGGGCTACCTCCTGCTTTGGCCCCATCCTACTCCTCCCCAGTGATCAGATCAGATCTCTCTGTATCGATACCACTCCTTTGGGGACCTGTCATTCCTTACATTAGCATTTCTAACCCAAGATCCTCAGAACACATGTGTTTCTGGATAGGCTGCATGGTGTTTGGTTGAAAAAAAAAAAGAATTTGTGATTAAATATACTTGGAAAACACAGGGTAA